TGGATCAATGATTAATTCTTGCTATCGGCATATTTTGTTAAAGTTGTTAAACTCAAATATTTAGCGATGTGATAGGGGAATTTTTATTACTGAAAATGATATGACGTAGAAACCATTACTCGTTTTTTTTTTATGTACCACTAATATATCCGATTTGTAATGCATTTTTTTCTATAATCCTTTTCTCCATGTTCCTTTTTCTACTGCTTTTTCTCTCCACCATTTTTCTCTCCTCCTTTTATCTCTACTCATCATTTTTCTTTACACCTTTTTACGCTCTCCCTTTTTTCTCTACTCTTTTTCTCTCCTTTATTCTCTCCTCCTTTTGTCTTTACTCCTTTTTTTCTATATTTCTTTTTTTCTAGTCTTTTTCTCTTCTTTTTTCGCCCCTCCATTTTTTCCACTGCTTTTTTTGCTTTTTACTCCCAATTTCTTTACTCCTATTTTCTCTACTCATTTTTTTCTCTACTCCTTTTTTCTACTCTTTTTTCTCTACTCCTTTTTTCACCCCTCTTTTTTCCTCTATTCATTTTTCTCTTCTTTTTTCGCCCCTCTTTTTCTTCTACTCCCTTTTTTTGTTTACTCCCATCTTCTCTACTCCTTTTTATTTCTTTTCTCCTATTTTCTCTATTTTTTTTCGATGCGTGAGGTGATGCTTAAAATTTCTCTATCCTCCAAGGAAGAGATTTGTCCTCAATCCTTCATAATGTTTATTTCGTTAGATTTGTGTATGTGAGTTAGTGCAAGATTAGATATGTGTTATTGCCATCTAGATTCCATTTAGCTATTTCAACATTAAAAGGGTGGGATCTAGTTGCCAATCTATTAGCACGCTTAAATTCAAGTGGACTGGGTACCAGGGGAAAAAATAAAGCTCATCATAGCAATTGTCATGATAATATTTGTAGAACAGACAGAGGGAAACCAAGTCACACCGGTGAGAAAGTGACTAAAGTCGAGATGCCTGGTCAGGATCGATAAGATAACAGACCCTTCTTTGTTTTTTTTTTTTTAATAAACTCGAAATGTACAGCAAGAGAAGCAGAACAGATACGGCAGAAGTATTCATTGTATGGGTGAATTATTGCAAGATGCATTCTGAGGAGAAAACATTTCTGGCACAAGATAGTGAACCAATTTTACGATTCACGGATGGAAAAAAGAAAGCCTTAGACATGATTAATTTGTTTCTTATGGTGTATCAACCATTTGGGGGCTATTTAAAGTTAACACATATTTTGAATTGTTAGAATTGTTTATAAACAAATCTTTTTATTTCATATCTATCTATCTATCTATCTATCTATCTATCTATCTATCTATCTATCTATCTATCTCAGTCTCTTCACAACATCCTCAATCTATCTATCTATCTATCTATCTATCTATCTATCTATCTATCTATCTATCTATCTATATTTGCACATATGATATGTTACATAAAAGTTTAGTTAACTTTTGGCTGAGAATGATTTCCCGCAGCAAAAAAAATCATATAAATATTAAATTTAATCTATCCAGCTCAGCTCTCTGCAATCGTAATGAAGATGTGCACAAAAATATACAGCTTATGGTAGTGAATATGATGGTAAAATTAGTGTTTTTTGGTTCTCGGGTGTTATTAAAATCCCTGTATAAAAAGCGTTCGGATATCAGATAACCAAAAACCGATCATCTACAGAGCACCCTTGCAACTATGCCTTGCAGATATTAGTCACAATTTCTGGGAGATAAGATATAATCTGGTATGAGGTCTAGTTTAAAAAGGGCCAATACATGCAAATAAAGGCGCCGGCGCATTTACGTATATATACGAACACAAACACAAACGCTTAAAAAAATTTAAAAAAGACATGAGTCTGGCCACTCATATCTTAGGATGTCCGTTTACTTGGGTGGCTAGCCAAATCGTGTTGCAGATGCTTGCTTAGGCACATTTGTGTTTGTTCAACGCGCACAGAGCCCACCTGTCGATTATACTGCATCTGCACTGAGCGGATATTAGTTACAGTTTCTGGAGAAGAGCAGTTATTTAGGGAGATCAAAAGTCTAAACAAGGCCAGTACACTCAAACTCTCGGTCACGTTGACATGTTACTTCATGCTAAAAGACCATACACCACATATAATATATATATATATATATATATATATATATATATATATATATATATATATATATATATATATATATATATATAAATTGTAATGAAGGATACATTTCCAGACATTCGTGCAAAAGAAAATATAAAATTTCATGTATAATGCATAGATAATTGTATTTAATAAGAACTAATAATTGTCAAATTTATACCGGATTACTTTGACGGGTAATAGGTTGTTTCTGATCTAAGTGATTTCTTTGAAACGAGTATTTGCCCGGTTCGACATTTGGTTAAAAAGCAATGAAACTTGATTATTAAGGATTAACTTATTTTTCTGTTTCGGGTCAATTTTCAAGAATTCCGTTATCAAATTTAGGAAGAAGTAAACAAATATCA